TCATGCCACAGGAACAGGAACAACTCCAAGCACAAAAGCCCAAGAAGATATAAAACCCCACCACTCTCAGCTCCATGTGGTCAGCCACCCCAGAAACATGCTGCTATCACTGAAGTTTCTGGCAACTCAATAAACAAGAACCTTCTTTCCTAAAGCAGTCTCCATTTTGTTTATTCCCAGCTTGGGCTGGACCCCAATGAAGAATTTTCTTTTAACATCAACTCTTCCATCACTCTGCCGCCACCCTCCCCATGTGTCCTTGGTTTTAATGTTTGTTTTTAACTTCTTATGTTTTAGCTTGGTGTAACTGTAAACTGCCCAAAGTTACCCTATGGTAAGATGGGCAGCCAATAAATTTTATGAATAAATAAAATAAAAAAATAAAAAAAATGTTTTGTGGGGAGTTTGATGTGGCTATTGTTATGGTGATCTTGAAATTAATAATCTAACTATGGATGTTTATATTTTTGTTTTATATTGTTTATATTGCCACCAATATATTCTGGTGGGATAGAAATAGGATTAAATAGAAAGAGATAGAAAATTAGAAAAAATAGAAAGGGGTATGCTAATTTTCTTTGCTCAAAATGATAGTTACTGTTAGTGAAATAAGATAGCTTTGGGTGCCATCTGGTGACGACATCTATGCATTGCAGTTGAAATTATTGTAAAAAAAAGAGATCTATTTTCCCATGAACCAATATTATAGTTCAGAATTAGCACCTAGGCAGCTGGAATAATATTTTGAGGAACTGTGGTTTCAGTGAACATTCAGTGAACAATCTACCAACCAAGTGATTTAATAGTAAAGGAAATTTTCTGCGTGGGAAAAAAGCATCTTTGCCATTTATACCTTGACTACTAGAAATTCGTGAATTAATTCCAAAGCAGAGTTTTATACAATTGCTATGTGGTACAGTATTAGAGAAGAAAGAGTTGGATTCAAATGCCATGACACTTTCTGGGTGAAACTGGAGCAGTGACTATTCTAGCTGAATTTGTAGATATCATCCTGCAATCTTAGAAACAAGGGTAGGATTAGAGTGTAATTACTGTAAATGATTTGGGGTTTCAGCTTTGAGTCACCAGAGATGCTACTAGAACGAAGGAAGGCAGATCTGGCATTTTGCATGATTCTTCCTGCAACTCTCAATGCCTCTAAAACAGATTTTGCAGGAGCACAGGAAACTATATAATGAAGGAAACTTGGAAAAAAGACATATTTACTTTTTTTTCATAGTGAATGAACAGAATATATGAAAATAGAATCCAGGATCAAACATTCCCAACTTGACACTCCTTTGCATATGTTGGGAGGTTGTGGTCTGGGTAAGATGTTGTATTATGGAGGGCTGGTTTATACATTTGTGACTGTCCCAAATGTGCTTTTTCAAGAGGTAACTGGACCGTCTTGTTTTTCTATAAAGACGTTTTGCTTCTCATCCAAGAAGCTTCTTCAGAGCTGAAGAAGCTTCTTGGATGAGAAGCGAAACATCTTCAAAGAAAAGCAAGGAAGTCCAGTTGCCTCTTGAAAAAGCGCCTTTGGGACAACCATGACCCTGCTGACTGAGAATCTCCAGGGATACATTTGTGATTATTTTTTCATAAATTGAGCACTGTGGCTTGAGGTAGATAAGGAAGATGGTAAGAGAGAATGTAGGTCTCCAGGATCAATTGGATTACACCTCAGTGAAAAGAACTAGTAGAAGTGAACATAGGCCAGGGGTAGGCAACCTCGGCTCTTTTATGACTCATGGACTTCAACTCCCAGAATTCCCGAGTCAGCACAGCTGACTCAGGAATTCTGGGAGTTGAAATCCATGAGTCATAAAAGAGCCGAGGTTGCCTACCCCTGACATAGGCTCACTCTTAACAATCTTTATGAACACTTGAAGAGACATACTACAAATAACAGGGGCCAGATTATGCCAGATTAATTTCTTTGAAAAGAGTTAAACTCATTTAGAATTTTGAGGAAGCATTGGAGACATAGTACCATGTTTCCCTGAAAGTAAGACCCTGTCTTACTTTCTTTTGGGCTCTGAAGTAAGCACTAGGTTTTACTTTCGGAGAGGGCTTACTTTTTGCCAGTACCGGCACCAGTAGGCTGCAAGCGCACAGGCGTGGGGCAGGGCCTGTACATGGGGTGGAGAAGCAACATGGCGGAGAGAGCATGGTGATGGACCAGGTACGGTACCAGTGCAGCCGTGGTGGTGGGCAGCGGAAAGGGTGCCGAGCCTGGTGTGGGGCAAGTCAGCCCAGATCTGGAGTGCTGCCCCGCCGCCGGCCTGCCAGGGCTCTTTGCCAGCGGCCCCCGGTGGAACCGCACTGGCCACGCCTCCACCTTTGGGCTGCTTGAGTGCCAGCCTGCACACCTACTTGGTGCTGTAGGCGCCAGGCTAAGGGCTGAACCTGGCGCTCTTTGGGCCTGACAGGCACTGCAGCTCTCATGCCGGCTGGGTGCTTTTGACCTCTAACGGCTACTCCTGCCAGATCGCCTTCCACCTGGCCGGCTGGCTGCTGCCGCCGCCATGAGATAAGGAGGCGAGGCAGGTGGCAGGGGGGTGGAGTTGCTTCCTTCCGCCTGCCAGACACTTGCTGAAGCTGCGCAGGGTAAGGTTGTCGTGCCCGCCCCTGCCCAGATGCAATTGCCTCCCCCAAGCATTTTTTAGTAACCTGCCTTTCAGCTGCATTGCGTTTCTCCATTTGCTTCTCAGCCTTCACCGCGTGTTTGTGAAATAAAAAAAAAGTTCAATCAGAGTTTCTAATTTATCGCACTCTGGATCTGGGCTGACTCGCCCCACGCCAGGCAGGAGCAGCCCAGCAGGGCAGCCCAGAGCAGCGCGGCCAGGGGGGCAAATAGCCCCGCGAGGCAGAAGCAGCACGGGCAGCCACTTGGCTGCCACATGGCACCCAACGCAGCCGAGAAATGTCCCAGCAGCAGTAGGGCCAGCAGGCAGGGCAGGCACAGGCGGGGGCTGATTGAGGGTTTGTTGTGGCCGCAGGCAAACAGACAGTGGGATGGAGAGGGCGGGGTGAGCGGCGGCCGGTTCCACCGGCGGCTGCTGGCAAAGGCCCTGGCAGGCCGGCAGTGGGGGGTTGCTCTGGCTGTCGCACACTAGGGCTTGCTTTCTGGGTAGGGCCTATATTAGGCCCACCCCCTGAAAAATCAGCTGGGGCTTATTTTTGGAGTAGAGTTTACTTTTGGGGAAAACACGGTATACTGGGATATCAAGAAACCATTGTCAGAATGTCTCATTCTAGTGCCCTTAATTAAATGGTAAAATAGAAACTAGATGAGACCACTGCTAGACGAATTCACCACTGGTTAATGACCACATGAAAGGCTGCTTGTTGACGTTTCCACTTCAGCTTGAGGGAAAGAATTGAGTAGACTTTCACAGCTCCTGGCCATATGCCATTGACATGGATGAAGAGTTGAAGGGCCACTTATTAGTCTTGCAGATGATATAAAATTGGGAGGAGCAGCTAATATTTTGGATAAAAGAGAGAAGACTCAACAAGACTTATATAATCTTGAGCATCAAGCTGACATAAATAAGGTAGAATGTAATAGAGTGAAACATAATGTTCTACATCTGAATAAGAAAAGTGTAAATCATATATAATATGCATCTTGGCAGTAGTATCTATGAAAAGGATCTAGATGTCCTCATGGGCCATCAGTAAACATGAACTAGATGTGTCATACAGCTGTTAAACAAGCAAGTGCTATCTTAGCGTGCATTAACTGGGAATAGAGACCAGATTGTGGAAATTACAGTAATTGTTCCACTCTTCTCTGCCCTAGTCGGACCTCATATTGATTATCGCATCCATTTTGGGGCACCATAGTTCAAAATGGGCAGTGAAAAATTGGAGTAAATTCAGGACAGAGTTATCATAATGGTGAAGGTTCTGGCAATCAAGATCTATTAAGAATGATTCAATAGCAATAGCATTTAGGCTTACATACTGCCCCATAGTGCCTTACAGCATTCTCTGGGTGGTTTACAATGTAAACATTACAGTAGTTGTATATTGTCCCCAATAATCTGGGTTCTCATTTTACCGATCTCAGAAGGATGGAAAGCTGAGTCAAACTTGAGCCTCATCAGGATTTAATTCCAGGCTGTGAGCAGAGTTTGCCTGCCGTACTGCATTTTAATCACTGCGCCAAAGCAATGTTCTGAGAATGTCTAAACCTACAGAAAAGATGTCTAAGAGGAAATAGGTTAGCAGTCTTGAGTTATGTGAACAGTAGTCGTATAGAAGTAGATCTATTCATTATTGCCTCTGGGGGCTGCCAAGATTAAGCAATGCTGGTTTAGCCAAAGACTTTTGCAGGAAGCACAAGAGAGTTTGGCGTTGATCTAAGCTTCAGCCAGCCAGCCAGCCTTGACCCCTTCCAGATATTTTATTTTTATTTATTTTTTACTTTATTTATTAGTTAGGGTTGAGTATTTATCATTATATATTATTTAGTTTGAATTGTATATAGGTTTTGTAAAAAAAGTTCTTTTTAATATTGTAAACCACTCAGAGTTGCCCTGCGATAAGATGGGTGGTCAACAAAATTAATAAAAAATAAATAAATTGCCTTGGAAGGTAGGATCAGAGCCAGTGGGACCATTTCATCCAGGTTAGAATCAGGAGGAACTTCCTGATTGTGCAGTCAGCACGTGGAACAAACTGCCACATCAAGTGATGAGTTTTTGTTCATTGGGAGATCTTCAAATGGAGGCCGGATGATCAATGATGTTCTAGTAGATCCTGCACTGAGCAAGGAGTTGAACTAGATGATCTCAGGGCTCTTCCAACATGGAGTGGAATTCTCTTGTATATTTTCAGAAGTCAGAAACTCAACTTTTGATACAAATATATATTTTCTTTGAACATATACAATATGTGCTATCAGTGGCCATATAACCTAATAGATATCTGGATTGCATAAATTCAACGTTGTGTTTGTGTGAACAGCAAGGGGATACAATAAAGACTTGGGTAATTTATTGAAGAATAATTTATCTTAGTCAAAGATATCCTAACCATTAGGTCAACAGTTTTATTTTTTTTTAAAAAAAATCCAACATCCTAGGACCTAGAAAGTATCCCAGAGAGGTAGCATTTCTTATTCACTTTGCTTTTTTATGGCTTGTGCCTTTTTTCATTTTAGTCCTTTCCCCATTAGCAAAGAATTGATAAATGATCCAAAACTATATTAGCAGCTTCTCCGTGATGCCATATGATCCTTCATCAATGCATCATTATGTCTTGAGCATTGCATAGACCCAGTTACATATCACAATATTGTGACTTTATTGTGAAGGCCCATCGACCAAATTCCAAGTATGAAGATCAGAATTCTCTGAAACAGATGGTGACTACTGGAGAAAGGGAATGTTTCAGTGCATTTGAAAATGTTATCCACTTTCCATTCAGGTCTTTCAATAGTGAAGTGTCTTCTTTATTTCCCAGTGTGTGTGTTTCTGATGTCACTGGGAATCATCTGGCCAATGAATTCCACATACCCTACATGTGCGGTATATCTCCCGCCTGACATTTTCACCAGCCAGCACATAGATAAATGGATCTGCAACGCTGTTGGCAGTGGAAAAGCACAGAAAGATCACAGAAGTAGTATATATTTTTTTCTCAAATGTGCATATCTCATCTGGATACCGAAAGAAGAAAATAGCTCTCACAAGGAGTACAAAATGGTAGGGAGCAAAGCACAGTACAAATACAGAAATGATAGCAATTGCCACGTTTCTCACTTTAGCTTTCTGGTCTGGATTGAGGCTGCAGCTGGTCTTAATACTTTGAAAAATTCTGTAGTTTGTGAAAAGAAGGAGCCCCAAAGGAATGAGAAATCCCAAGAAGAACCGGCTGATATTGTAATAGGCCAACTTGTCACTGAGAGGAGTTTCAAAGCAGGTTGCTATGTTATCTTCCTGGATACTTTTGTTGAAAAACACAGGGCAATAGATGGCAGCAATGATGCCAAAAAAAGCGACTGTGACCATAGTAGCAGTCTTTTGGGACCTGAAGCATTTCCCTCTGCTTTCCAGTGCACGTACCAGAGCCTTATAGTGATCGATAGAAATGCAGCACAGGAGAAGAATGCTGATGTAAATGTTGCAGAAAAAGATATATCCAGTCACCAGGCATGACGATGTCCCCATTTGCCAATGGTGGTCATTTTTCACATAGAGGATCCAGAGGGGAAGGGTGCTCAGGTACATAATGTTGCACAGGGACAGGCCAAACAGGTAAATGGCTGTGATATTTTTTCTGCAAATTTGTACAAGCGTCACAAAAGCAGTTAGGCAGTTGGCTGGTAGGCCTATGGCAAAAATGAAGCTGTATACTACAATCAAAAGCTCGCGGCTTTCTTTGAATGGTAGGTCTGTGGAATTGCATATCCTGCTGATACTCATGCTTCCTTCATTTGGAGCCCCTGTTAATCTAAAAGCAAAATAGGTTTGGTTAGGTAATCTACTTTCAAGTTCATTTCTAAAAGCCACTATTTCTGTACATGGCATGCAATAGCTTTTTAAATTTAGACTGATTTGTCAACTATGACTTTAGTTATGTGAAAACAGCTTAGTTTCATTCATCTAGGAAATCTTTTGTATAGATCTCTGCAATGCATTATGGATGTCACATGAAAGACAAGTTGATGCAACTTATAGAAACTTGGGTACTGACAGGGATTGAGCATTATAACTATATTAAATTAAAATTGTATCATCTTCACAGGCCTATAATTCACTTCTGCACTCAGTTCAAGGTGCTGGCAATAACCTTTAAAACCTTTGGCCATGATACCAAAAGAAACTTGACTTCCTATGTATACTGGTTTATTGAGTCCTGGCATATGGTTACTTGAGAGCAGGAGTTCTCAGTAATAGTTCCCCAGATAAAGAATTCACTTCCCAGAGAGATCCATCTAGAGCAGCGGTTCTCAACCTATGGGTCGTGACCCCATTTGGGGTCGATCGACCATTTCACGGGGGTCGCCAAGCAAGGCTGTCCGCCATTTTTTTCCCCTTTTCCGGCCTTACCTCCCTTGGGCTGGGCCAGCTGGTGGTCGGCCTGCTCCGTCTCTGCCGCTTGCCAGCTACGCCTCGGCTGGCGCAGGGGGCGGAACCACGCATGTGCGGTGCTCCCGGGCAGGGAAAGTCCTCGACTTACGACCGGTTGGGTAGTCCTTGACTTACGACCGGTTTAGTCCTCGACTTACGACCGGTTTAGTCCTCGACTTACGACCGGTTGGGGGTCGCGTCATTAAAAAGGTTGAGAACCACTGATCTAGAGCAGGGGGTCTTCAAACTTGGCCCTTTTATGACTTGTACACTTCAACTCCCAGAATTCCTCAGCTAGCGACGTTGCGAGTTTGACACCCCTGTTCTAGGAAGTGAGGCAAGATATTGATATATGATGTTTACTCAGAGTTGCTCTTCCTCTGCTGACTAGAAGCCAGAAGTTCTATTCCTGTTTTAGGAATGAAAGATAACCTGGTGACTTTGGGCCAGTCAGTCTCAACCCAACCCACCTCACAGGGTTGTTGTTATTGTAGGGAAAAAGAGAAAGAGGAAGGAGTATTATGTAAGGTCATGACCTTGAGTTACTTATAAAGTAACAAAGATGGGATAAAAATCTAATAGATAAATCATTGGAAAGTATCAGTGTTCTTTAGTCATCTTTCCCTCCAGAAGGAAACCTGAGTCATGTGGAATTGTCACTGGGGTTAATTGCAGGGTTTGTGTGTTGAAATTCCTGTCACGTATCAATGTCATTATTATCATTATTATCTTTTATAGGAAATATATTATTACCCTAGAGCAGGGGTAGGCAACCTCGGCTCTTTTATGACTCATGGACTTCTATGCTGACTCAGGAATTCTGGGAGTTGAAGTCCATGAGTCATAAAAGAGCCGAGGTTGCCTACCCCTGCCCTGGAGCAGGTTTCTCAGCCTTGGCCACTTTAAGATGGGTGGATTCAACTCCCAGAATTCTCCAGTCAAGTCTACTCTTCTTAAAGTTACCAAGGTGGAAAAGCACAGCCCTTTAGGAACTTCAGTGGTTGCAAATCTTGAGGTGAGTGTACCTTTTCTTCTAATTCAGGACTGTAAGCTCAGAACTAAATGGCTAGATTAAAGTATCTGCTCTACTCCTTGAGCCTTAACATATACTTCCCCAATCACCCATCCCCCTTCTCCCTCAGTTAAGAGGGCAGAAAGTGACGCTGGCTTTAACACTTTAATGATGTGAAACAAATCAACGAAAGCAATGGGAAATTCCCTTGGGTTTCTTTCTCCTCCCACGAGCCAGCACTGTTGTTCTGTAGCAGCTCAAGTAGAAGATGGAGCTTGCTTACTACTGACAGTTCCCTCTTAATTCACCCTGAGCTCCTCTGTGCCTGCAACCTGACAGCTGGGCTAATGTTTGGTACAGGCTTAGCACTCTTTCAGAAAAGGATTAGACCTGTGTCCAAACATACGCTGGCTGACAGGTTGCCAGCACAGAGAATTTCCACGCCAGCCACTTGTTAGATGGGCAACTTGATAAGCTACTAAACCCAATGTTCCAAGCACCTGCTCATCTTGTTGCAACCTGAAAAACTAATTTAGAAGAAGTTATTGGTATCTCTTTTCCTGTTTTAGAACCCAGGTGTTGGGGTTTTTTTTGGGGGGGGGGTAGCTCAAGTCAAAATGGCCATGGAGCACATAGGCTGAAAGGGAATGTTTCTTCTCTGGGCTAAAATAGTCAATGGGCAGATTTCAAAATGACTCCATCAGCAACTACATCAATGAACAAAAATGAAATTTTCAGCACTTGTGTTTGTTTGTGGTGAGGATAAAAAGAGAAAAGGGATAAGTCAAGCTTTGCATATGTTTAGGATATTTATTTTAAACTTTGGACATGGAGATGAGTACTTGAAAACAATGAAACTGCATCTCTTTGGAATGGAGCTGGAGAACATAAGTAATCTACTGGTTACGCGTCCTGCCATGGAGCCTAGATCAAGACTTGGAGATCATTTCTCAACAATCATTCCCTCAGAAAGAACATTGCATGAGGTGTGTGGAAGGGCTGAAATCAGAACTCAGGCATCAAAAGCTCAGGGCTCCTGAATTACAGCTGTTTGCAGTGCACTACTACAATCTGCCAAATATGCAAAGGTTCCTTATGAGACCAATCAGTGCATAATGTAAACAGCATGGAGGTACTTTCCCTGGAGGTAGAAAAATTTGAAAACCTCTGGCTGAAAATTAATTCCAGCTAGACCTATTGTAGCAGCTTCAATAAGGAATCCTCCTGATGTCGTAAAGAGTGATAGTATTTGGACCTAATTTTTCATAGACTGCTCCAGGTGTTGGGAACCTGTAACCCTCCAGATGTTAATGAATCTCAGCTACCATGGCCAGTGGGGGAAGGAGACTGGAAACTACAATTCAGCAGCAACTGGAAAGCTACGTGAACATGCCAATGTACTAAATTTCAATGAAGATAATATACAGCTTAATGCATATGTTGGAGCAGGCTCCCTAATACATAAAAACTCTTGTGGCCACTGGGAGTTCTCCTCAATCTGATGTTCTCCAAATATGCTGCATGTACAGATTCTGGGAGTTGAAGGACATCGGGTTGAAGAAAGTTTCATTCTCTTTGCTTTGAACTGGCATTGCTATATTTTTACAATAGTGTGAAAGGAAATATGAAAGGCAAAAGGAAGTGAAAAGGGTGGAGATTACACAGGGTTGTTGAGGCCTCTTGCAAAACTAGCAGAGAAGTTGATGAAGCAAAAACTGTTGCAACACACAAAGCCCCCATTTGCTCAATTTGAGAAAGGCATTTTTCAAACCATATAGCTTAATTTGGCACCCTCCTGGTGAATTAGACTGCAGTGCCCATAAATCTGGCTACGTTTAGTGAGGGTATCATAGTCTAAATAGATTAGAAGAATCCTATTCTACTGCAGCCAATATGAAACATCGTATTATTGTGTGGAGTAATAAAATATTGTAATATATCTTAGAATAAGCTCAATTTTATTTATTTGTTTGTTGGTTTATTTGTATCCCACCTTTATTATTTTTACAAATAAGTTGGCGAACATAACCAACACACCTTCCTCCTCCTATTTGCTCCACAACAACAACCCTGTGAAGTCATTGGGCTAAGAAAGTGCTTGGCCCAAGATCACCTAGCTGGCTTTCATAACTAAGGAGGGACTAGAACTTAGTCTCCCACTTTCTAAGCTGATGCCTTAACCATTAGGCAAAACTGGCCAGTTGATTTATTTATTTGTCATATTTATATAGCTACTCATTGCGGAAACAAGTGACTCTAACTTGTTTAGTATAACTAAATTAAAAAACAGTGAATATTTTCAAAACAATAAATATTACTTAAAAAGCTCTAAAATTTTAAAAAGCATAAAGCTAAAAGAGAAAAGTAAATATTGGATGAAGACTAGGTATTAAAAACAGTGGAACAATCTCAATATTTTACCAAGTCAAAAGGGATGAAGCTTTCCAGAGAGAAATCATCGTAGCAGAAAAGGCCTACTTGGATCTTCCAAGTGTAGTTCTCTAGTTGATGGGTTCCGCAGCATGCCCTCTCTGCTGTTTCTCATGGGACACATAGATGTAATTTGGGAGAGGCAGTCCATTGGTGGGATTCAACCAGTTCGCACCACTTTGGCAGAACCAGTAGCTAAATTTTTGCTGCCCAGGCCCAGAATGGACTTCCGGAAGCAGCATCCACACCAAGAACCAGTTGTTCACATATTTGAATCCCACCACTGAGGCAGTCCCTCAACTAATTTGATCCCATGCCATGTAGGACTTTTTAAGGTAAAAATCAACACCTTGAATTGGCAACTGGTAACCAATACAGCTTGCAGAGCAGATGTTTAACACCTGGTCTTCTAGAAACACACATAGCTACTCGTGCTGCTGCATTCTTTGCCAGCTGAAACTTCTGGATATTTTTCAAGGGCAGTCCCATGAGGAGTGCATTACAGTAGTCCAACTGGGAGATGACTAGGGCATGAGTGATCCTGATCCTATCATTCCTAGACCCTTGATCTAGGAATGGGGGCAAGTGGTACACAACATGAATTTGAGCAAAGGCCCTTCTAGCTATGATTGCCACTGTCTTTGAGCAGGACATGTAAGTCTAGGAAGACACCCCCCCCCCCAGATTGTACATAAGGCCTGTCTAGGACAGTGCAAAACCACCCATCACCAAAGATGGGATTGTTTTAGAGCTGGCAGGCTCCCAAACCCAAAGTCACTCAATCTTGCCAATGTTCGGTTGAATCCTGTTCCCCATCCAGATCCTTGTAGCCTCCAGGCACTGGGATAAGATGTCCATAGCATTCCTTAATTTGCCAGGGTGAGATATATATAATTGGGTATCATCATGATACCACATGATACCTCATCC